CTTCGTCATCCTAGTAAAGTCAGAGGCTAGTGTTCCAAAAACTTTTTATGGCTTCTGAAAACTCGATCGATATTGTATTTTTGACACATTTTTCAAAAGGAAAAAGATTATAAGGATGATCAATACTGGGTGCAAATATAAAACATCATCCTTCCATGGATCCGTTTTGGCTTGGAGTTGCCTTGTATATCGGTCAATTTGAATTGATGTTTGAAACATGAAACACAAAATGTCGAACAGAAAATTTCATGAAACCGAATTTCTTGCAGTGCAAACACATCGACCCTGTCATCCTCATCCACTCTCTATGAAATAACGTTTTGGGAAATATTTTCTGGATGCTCTGTATTCTTTCACAACTTTTGAGGTGCTTTTTGTTGATGAATTTCCTTGATAAATATTTTATTCAACTATGAATTAAAGTCTACATCTGACATGCTCGTTTGATTTTGTGACAGAATGCCTTCGGCAAATTTTTCCAGAAAAACTACCGGTATGCTACTAAATTTACCTGCATAGTTTTTCATGGTTCGGCTAAGGATGAAGAGGGAAAACATTTAAAATGCTTTTCCATATCCAAATCACATTTATTTACTGAAAATGAATCCATTTTCTTTGTAAAGAAATTAGTTTAGATGCTCTCAAAACATTTTGATCATTCCTTGATGAGTACAGATAAAGAACTATAAGATTTGCTGAATACCTTTTTTTCCCGTAGTGGAACTCCTGAAACAGTATTGGTTTTCTCATGCATATGATGAGAAGCTTGAAAACGTTTTTTTAGACTCGACAATTCTCAGACTTACCGCTTAGTTAGCTATATTGAGCTAGTTTAAAATTTTTTTGAAAGTACTCAATTTCACTGATTCACAATCAAACAACGTTATTCTTGCTCATCTCTAGATGAGCCACATGAGAACATAAACATGACATCATCATCCCATAGCGCTTCCAATACATGAAATTCATCAGTTGAATCCGAGACAGTACCTCATATTTAATTCAGGTTTGGTGGTTACCGTGTGACAAACACAATATTACAGGTGAAAAATATCAGAAGAAGAAAACCTATAAACATCTTCTTTTCAACTCATTACTTACGTACAATGCTCTAAGACCATCCTACATAATGGTCATGTACGACAGTCATGTAAGATGATCATTAATCATTATCTTACACTACATACAATCATTACTTGAGACAGTCGTATACGATGGAGATTTTTCGTTCTCTTTCACTAAGTACAGTCCTAGGTTTACGATTGAAGAGACTTAGACATAGCGCGATTCTTTCATCTAGAAATTCATTAAACACGCTTCTTATTATTTTTCACTTTGTTATTGTTCAGGAACGCCAGCAATACCAACCCAGTGCACGGAAATCATAGCAGGAGGTTATTATGCCGGCGATCGAATGCTAGAAATTCGCAATGTTCCTTCAGCGGAAGACTGCATGAATCATTGTTATGTGGATCAAAGATGTTTCGCATGGTCCTACTTACCTACAGTCAAACTATGTTATCCTCAATTTACAGTTAGAGACAAAGTCATTGATGTCAATTACATGAGTGGATCTTGCATTGGTAAGTAAACTGAAACATTACTTTATCGTTGTCCTTTTTCGTCTCTGTAACAAAAAATAAAAATGAATAGACTATTTCGTCACTGCTGCAGCATTTATTTTATTGTTATCACAATGACGAACTGGAGGAGTAGCGTTACCACTATCCTCGGTAGACGGTGTTCACTTTTCTACTCCATCGTCCAGTTCTGTTCAATTTCACATAGAACACTAGCCTATATACGAGAGAGATGAGACAGAAAAGATAAAATATGAGACGTACATTACAACACAAAGAGAACTAGGCTCAAGCATTCATCAATAAGCGTAATAGTGAAGCGACCCTGGAAAGTATTATCAATTGTATAATATCATACAGAGAAAGAAAAGAATTACATCAGATGATATGCCCCTTGGCACAGCCTCCAAGGCGGTCTAAGCATTAAGAAACAGGATTTTCTTCAATTCTTAAAAATATCATACACTTATACATATATATATGGACGAATTGCATTGCATTTGTACAATTTCAACAAAAAAATTCACAAAAAAGAAAGTATTCATATATAAAAATTAGTGCAATATGTTGAGAGAGCAGGTTGCAAAAACCAAGAAAAAACTTATTTTAACTACAATTAGCTAAAAAAGATCCTTATTGTAATACCATGAAAATGCATACTTATGTATCTATATTCCATAGACTGAAAGGCTAGGGTCTAGAAACGAAAATTCACCTGTGTCTGTCTGTCTGTCTGCCTGTAACACTTGGTACAAATGACCATTTTTGTGATACAAAGTACCACAAGTAACGTTCATCGACATTGAGTGTCCATTCACTTGGCCCTAGACAGAAAGGCTAGGCTCTAGAAACGGAAATTCATCTCTGTCTGTCTGTCTGTCTGTCTGTCTGTCTGTCTGTCTGTCTGTGTGTCTGTGTGTAACACTTGGTACAAATGACCATTTTTGTGGTACAAAGTACTATAGTCATGGTACAAGTGACCATTTTCGTGGTACAAAGTGCCATAGTCGTGGCACAAGTGACCGTTTTCATGCCACAAAGTACCATAGTGATGGTACAAGTGACCATTTTCGTGGTACAAAGTACCATAGTCATGATACAAGGGACGATTTTCGTGGTACAAAGTGCTATGGTGATGGTACAAGTGACCATTTTCGTGGTACTAGTCATGGTACAGGTGACCATTTTTTGGTACAAAGTACTATATTCATGGTACAAGTGACCATTTTTGTGGTACTAGGTATCAGATTCGTGGTACAAGTGACCATTTTCATGGTACAAAGTACCATAGTCACGGTACAAGTGGCCATTTTCATGGTACAAACTAGCATAGTAATGGTACAAATAACCATTTTCGTGGTACAACGTGGCATAATAATGGTACAGGTGTGCATTTTCGTGGTAGAAAGTACCAAATTCATGGTACAAGTGACAGTTTTTATGGTACAAAGTACCCTAGTGATGGTAGAGGTTACCATTTTTGTGGTAAGAAGTACCAGAGTCGTGGTACAAGTGACGATTTTCATGGTACAAGGTGCCATAGTCGTGGTACAAGTGATCATTTTCGTGGTACAACTTCCCATAGTCAAGTTACAAGTGTGCATTTTCATGGTACCAAGTACCAAATTCGTAGTACAAGTGACCATTGTCATAGTAAAGAAGTAGCGCTTTGGTGGTACAGGGGATCATTTATTTGACACAATTGGCCATTTTCATTATACAGATGACCGTTTGTATGGCTCAACTCAGTGTTTTCACGGCACAATCAACCATTTCTATGGCACAGTTGACCATTCTTATGGCTGAAATGATCATGTCTGTGTCACAATTGGGCATGTCCGTATTAGCAATGCCCATTACTTTGACATAAATCACCATGTTAGTCGTTATAATTGGCTAAAGGATAAATTTTATCATATACATTAGCATCTTTCAATATTTTCTGTGGACTATTTGAATATATCTATAGTGTGTAATATACAACGTGTTACAAATATTTATAATTTCTCATCGACTCATCATTATACAGAATTCATTTTATTTAAAAATATTTAAGGACATCTTTGCCATCATTCCGTCAGTCTAGAGCCAAGGGAATCGACATTCAATGTCGATGAACGTTACGTGTTGCTAATGATTTCCGATTTTCTTTGATGTGCCATTTCTTCAGGGATGAATTATTTCTGAAAGAACATGAATCAGCTACTAACTCTAAATATATAGTTTTTTGATTGTTCGGATTGAACATATGTCAGATAAAAGGTTTACTTTATATTTGGACATTGGTATAATATGATTTGATTATCATGTATTGTTCAATTTATTGTTTTACAGGACCGAAACTAAAACAAACTACGTGTACAGAAATGAAAAGCGGTGGTTATTATGCTGGCGATCGTCAGCAAGTAACTGGCTATGTTTTTACACCGCAAGATTGTATGACAAAATGTGATCAAAATAACAACTGTATAGCATGGACGCATCTGAGTTCAGCTCAAATATGTTGGTATCAAACTTCAGTTACAGCATGGATCAATGATGTATCCTACACGGGAGGATCTTGTCTGCGTAAGTCAACTAAAACAATATTAATCATCATTCTTCTCTTTCTCAATAACATTGATATATCCAATTAAACAATATGAAGTTGAGAAGCCTTCACTATCCTTAAAAAGTAGTATAAGAACCTGTTTTTTATCAGTTGACTTATCCAATTGACTTTCAAAACCATTTTTTCAGCATTGCTAACGACGACAAGCTAGTTCAAAGCTGGATGAGTTTAAGTCATGAAATGAACTCGAGTTGATTTGAGTCACATTTGTCTCAAGACTCTGACTTGACTCAAACTTGAACATTGAGTGACGTTGACTCGACTGTTTAACTGGAGCCATTCATTCAAAAAAGCTTTTATTGGCTTTTATAAACAAATTACGATTTATAAGATTAAATTTTCACTTATTCACAGCTTTCATGAAGTACATACGGAGATTTATTATTTTTTTTGAAATTGATCAAATTATTGAAACCAACGAATTTATCTAGATTTATTTATTGAGAACAGATAATATATTTGAACTGTACTAAAAGAGAGTCATCGTTCAGAAGAGCTAGCCATCACGTTCAGCTGGTAGCTTTACTTTTGTGTCGTTTTTTGTCACCATCCTCAGTGAGGTACCTGTGCTCGGTTTAATGCAGTCTGTATGATAATGAAATATATAGCAGGACCATATAGAAAAATCTCCGAACAAATAAATCTTAAAAACCGCTGCTGTCGTTCTGATTAAATATATTACATTAAAACGATTTTTTCAAAAACTTTTTTCTATGATTGTACTCATATGGTCGTTATTACATAATTTAGTCAATAATTTCTCGGACTTTCAAATATTTATTCATAGAAAAAACATTTTGCTAATCTTTTTACAGTAAATGTTCGAAGTAGTCCCCACGATGTTCAATACAAAGTTTCATCCTTTCAATCCACTTCTGAAATGTCTTTTGGTATTCTTGAATAGGTAATGAATTGAGCTCTTTGGATAACGTATTAGCTAAACTTGTAGTATTTGGATATGTATCAAGGGTACGTTTCAGACAATTGAACAACCAAAAGTCCGAAGGAGCAAGGTGAGGTGAATATGGTGGATGAGCCATAACGTTGATTTTTTCTTCTTGAAGATAAATAACAACAATATCATTCATATGTGGTTGTGCATTATCATGATGCAGCTTAATGTGATTTACTGTTGATGATGGTCTTTTTTTGTGTAACATTTTGACTAAATCTTTTAAACATTCATCACGATAATACATGACATTGATTGATGTTTCAGAAGGTACTTGATGAATAAGTAATGGTCCATTTGTCATAAAAAAATAACGAACATTGTTTTTTCTTCGAATACTTGTCTTCTAACTTCAGTTGGAGGACTTTCTTCTTTTGCTACCCATGCTTTAGATTCTTGTTTTGATTTAATTTTTCGATGGTAAAACCAACTTTCATCACCTAATACTATATCACATAGTGGCCAGGCACCACTTTCAAATTTCTGTAAATTTTCAATACAAATATCAATACGTTGTTATCG